AATTTAAAACTAACATCCCTACTTTAAAATTAACAAATTTAATATTTTTAAATAAAAAAAATAAAATTAACAGAATTATTTTGCCTTTTTCTCGGCAAAGTTCCTCGAATGGCGAAACTCTTCCCTGCGCACGGCAGACGCTAGAGTCGTTTTAAATTAACGACCGTTGGCTTTCTTTTACATCCTATTTGGATTGAGGGAGACCAACGGAGAGGGATGGGGAGTGAAGGGGACGAATGGTAATTGAGAGAGAGGGAGGGGAGGCTGTCTCCTCCCTTATATTTGGATATGCAAAGAGCAAGAAGGGGAAGGAGATGGAGGAGGTTTGGATCCCCTCAACAACCCCTTACAACTGCAGATTCCAATCCCCCCAATTTGGGGGGTTTGGGACAGATTTGGCAAAAGTTTAGATTTTACCAACAAAAATTACCATAATATCCTCTTTACCCATATCATTTAAGACCTTCTGGTTCTTCTTCCATCTTAATTATCAGCATCAGCAGCCAGTATTCAAGGTAAGGATATACCTGCTCAACGTCAATTTTGATTATTTTTGAGCTTTCACCATTCTCTCACCGGTTTCGACCATTTCAATTGAAATTTATGTTTGAATAATTTTTTAGGGTTTAATTTTTATTAGTTATTTTATTTTATTATTTATTGGTATCATTGAGACTATATTGTAATAAAATTATTTGTTTTTTATTTTTAAAATCATTTTTTATTGATTGTTTTATTTAATATTTATTTGTTAAATTTTTAATTTTATGTTTTTTTAATCAATAATTTTTTTCCTCTAATTTGTATTTATCAATTTTTTAATCTAAAGTCATATTATGACCAAAAAAAAAAAAAACATATAGTAAGGTACTAGACTTCTCTTGTGTTTGGTTTCGATGGATAATAGAATGATTTAATGAATTAAACAAATTGACAACAAATAAAAACGGATAAGTAACTCTATTACAATCTTAAAGCTTAAAGGGTAAATTTATAAATTTAAAATTAATTTAAATTTTTCTCTTTTTTCCCTTCCTTTTACTTTAATTATTCAAACATAAAATAATACAATCCTTCCCTTCCCTTCCCCTTCCTCATTTTTATTTATTCAAACAAAATTAACACAAATCATTTCCTTTTATTTTCCCCCATCCCCCTACCTTCCCTTCCCTTTACTATTTTCTATCGAAACTCTTCCCTGCACACTGCAGACGCTAGAGTCGTTTTAAGTTAACGACCCTTGGCTTTCTTTTAGAGCCAGAATCTCTCCTCAATAATTTATTCAATTAAAATGTCACAA